GTAGGGAACATTAAAAATATTCAACATCATCATCTGTGCTTGTTTTTCTACTATGCTGAGGTACATTGACTGTGTTGCCTTGGTGATGTGGACTAAATATGTATGTTTCCTGCTTGTCCTGGGTTTGAGGCCTCAGGTAATCGATGTTAATCAGGAGTGTCTCTCTATACATGGGAGACATCAGTTTCTAAACATTAGGTCATGCAGGGACCCAAATTCAAAGAGGTTAAACTAACATATCAGCCCCTTTAGGTACTGTGCTTAAAGGAAATTTAGTTTACTCACATTCCTGAGAGTAGGAATACAGGGAGAGCTTGTTTTCTCTCAGGCAATGTGTCTTTGTTTCATTTTTCGTTTCAAAGGTAATTTTGTGTCAAGTCAACCTACAAGGTAGCCATTTCTTTTATGTGACACACTTTTACTGAGGCAAGGTCATTTCAGCTCAATGGACATTTATTTATTGAATATCTACTAGGTTCTAGGTGATGTGGCACAAAGATGAATAATACACAAGTGGCCCTTGTCCTTAAGGAGCTTCCAGACTTGTAAATTTACATTTTTAAAAAATTGGCTAATGGTGATAGCCCAGTACCAATTTATAAAGCCAGTTGGAAGTTACTAATTCTTTTCCAGTTTCAGTCATCAAAATTTGCAAATTACACATCAACCAAATATAAAAATATTCCTTAGATTGTATCCAATGTGAGGTTTAAAAATCCAGATGTCTTGGAGTTGCAGCAATTCAGCATTCCAACTCAGATGGTTGTCCCATTGTGCTGTAATATAAAGGCCTGATCAACCCTCTTCTAGCAGACTGTTACAGTGGTTTGGTGTTCTGTTGGCAGCTGCATTTTCCCTTTTTCTTTTTTAATGTTGTGGATCCAAAACAAGCAGCTGGATTTATCCCAGGGGTAGTCATGAACATTTCAGTTCGAGGAATCTGATAGTCCCCAAACAGAAGGTCATATGGCATTTGTCAAATAATTATATCCAAGTTCCCCCTCTGTATGCAAATCAGCTACTGAGGATACAGTATTTCTAAGCATAGTACTTCAGAAAAAGATATAAGAATGTCAAATAGCTAAATTTGCAGAGATATTTCATTATAATAAATATTTCACTTTTTTCATGAGAATATTAATGTAGCAATTATATATTAATAGGAATATGGAATTAACATATGCCCAAACAAAACGTAAATGTTTTAACTTTGTTTTTCTAGGTTCCATAATTTTGAGACTATATCTCTCAAGGCTCTTCAGAAATTCAAAATGTTCCAATTTCTAAAGGAGTATCTACTAAAACTGATTTATAATGAAAAAATGAAAATGTATGCATCCTATGTCAATATAACCATCACTTCTGAGGTCTCAAGCAATCAGAAACTTACTCAACTTATTCAATAACTTGTAAGAATTAGGCCATTAAATATATTTTGAAAGGCCTTCAGAACACTTATATTTAGTATGTTATTAATTGTATTAAGGCAGTAAAAATTAGACTAAATGCTATTGTATTCTTAATATTCCAGTCCCTCAGCAATAGTTCCTAATGAAATCTTGCCTGTCCAACAGGGAGACTGATGCATGTAAATGTATACTTTGTATATGTTTTTATACTTCATATATATACTTTATTATACTCTTTATAGCAGGTAAAAGAATGAGTAGATATAATAAACTATAACTAATTTGTTTACTATAGCATTTAAACTAATTAGTACTTTTAAGGGACTATACTGCATCAGAACAGGAGTGAATAAACAAGATTGAGAACCAGTTTTTAAATCTGTTGAGACTACTAGGCAGGTTGGTTGGTTAGTTGAAGAGGATATAATTTATATGTGGAAAGAGATACAAGAGATGATTCACTGGAAATTCTTCTAATAGTATCAGTTCATTAGAACAGGATTAACACATTTTATCCTTAACACTTTGAGAAATAAGATTAGTGAAATAATTTCTAATTAAAGTAACAATTGTTACAGAGAATGACATGCCTCACTATTGTGCAATTCTAATTAAATGGATTGTTTTATACATTAAAAAAATCCCATTTTAAAAGTAAAGCATGACTTCTACAAAATAATTTTTTTCATATTTTAGGTTTTTAATCCATATTTTACAGTAAGTCCACATCATAATTTTTATTGCTCTTGTCCCATTTCTTAACTTTAAAATACTTTAATTTCAGCAAATGTTAATAAAGGAGACTTCTAAGGCATAATCATTTACTCCCCTCAAGTTCATTGTAAGTGTTCTCAGAACTCTACCATGGGGGAACCCCTAAATTTAAAAGATACGAAGATTTACTTTTCTTTCCTTCTAATTTTAATTTTTTATCACAAGGCTTGATTATCAATGATAGCTACGAACTTTATAGTGAAATGATTTCTTCTGATTTTCATAAGCATAAGAGCAAAAGACTGGGTTTTAAGCAATAAATCACTTGTTTTAACTAAGCACTTGCTTAGTTGGAGAAAGTGCCATTTCTACAAGCATGCCTTGAAAACAAATCAAATTCAGTTCCTTTGGGAAAGCCATATCAGGGAGACTTGGGCACTCTAATTTTATTCTTAATAATTTCTATTTTAAAAGGGGACACTTTCTGTCTCTGACCCTAAATGCTGGGGTTGTCCTATGCTAATGAAGCCTTGAGGCTTGGAAACTTGCAAGATGATTTTGTGATGAAACTGCATGTTAGATTGACACTATTAATAGACCCCAAATGAGCTTAAATTTGAGATAGCTTTTAAAAGCACAGCATGCACTTTCTTCTAGTTTTACTTCTCTATCAACGGGACTTGAAATGTTTGTTTCTGCAAATTGACATTTTAACATATTTTTTCTGAAAGATTTTGCATGTACTTTTTAGTCTGGATACTGTTTTCATTAGTTCGAATACTGCCCCATTCGAAGTTCACTTTTAAAGCCAAAATTCATTGTTTACTTAAATATCTGGGCTAGATTGGGCAGGGTGAGGAGGAAGAGAGGAGAGTCCTTTATGCCCTGTAGGCTCTGGACAGCTCTCCTAGAGTTGACTTATCCAGGATTAGGAAAAAACATGCTTTTGCATGACTAAGATCATTCTAAAGGTTGCTTGCGTAAGCATTTTATATTTAAGAAAATTCAACCTGAAACATACTTGAATATAGAGGTAGAAACAGCTTCATTTAGTGGGATAACAGCAATCTCTAACCCATCAAATTAATATGTACCTCCTAAATAGCTTTCAAAAAGAACATGACTGGAAATTATTTTTCACTGCAATGCTTTATTCTGTTTTAAAAATAACAAGAGCTAAAATGTCGTAAAAACTTGGACAGTTACACTGCACTCATTTTATGTTGTGTTTTACAAGGTAAAATTTTTATGTATTGTAAAATGTTTTAAAAGGAGTCCACAAAATAATTCTGCTTTCTTGCTTCCAAATGCAGAGGTCTGAGAGAAGGTGCATGGCCTCATTAGCTTCTGGGTGCTGTTAAACCCAATTCTCTCTCAAGTACTAAATGCCCAGATACAATTACTAGGGATGCAGTAGTCTCACTTAACCAGTGTTTTTTTTGGTTTTTGTTTTTGTTTTTGTTTTTGTTTTCAATATAAAGAGAAACATCTTGATTAAAGTGTCAGGAGATAGAAACCATACTGACCTGGCAATTTTGGCTCCAATGATGTCTAATTTGCTGTGAAAGGGGAACATGGTCTAAGCTAATGTTCTTAAAGGCAACTTCTGAATTTCTCCTTAAAAAAAATCTTTGCGTTACAGAAAAGCTGTTCAAGGAAGAGATATTTTATTGGATAGGACAGATTAAATGCACAGATGTTATCTTAAAACCATTAATTAGGGAGTTCCCTTGTGAATTTGAATATTCACTACCAGCTGTTATTCACATCAATATTTTAATGTTTTACCATCAAGATATTTAATAAAAAAAGGTTGGTACATATTACATATTTAACTGTGTAAAGTACTAGTTAAACTTGTAAAAGGGAAAGGGAAATAACATTCTCTGAGCGCCTACTATATGCACAAGCTCTACTTTCATATCGTTTAATTTTTACGATGATTTCATGAGGTAGATTTTAATTGTTATTTTACAAATGAGGACACTAAGGCACCAGAGGGGTTATATAACTTTCCTGAAGATACATAGCTAATAAATGGCAGAACTGGGATTTGAACTGAGTCTGACTGCAAAGCCTGTTTTGCAGTCTTCCCTCATTTTTCATAAAATGTTAATCTCAGCGCACAGTTGCATCACCATCTTTGTTTTTGGGTTACCGAAGTGAAGTATAAGTTGGCCAAGTCTCTGTTCCACAATGGGAAAATACGCGTAGGATGTGAATGCATGAGTGGGTTGCTTGCAGAGTCTTACTTGTGCTTCTGAGGGAATGTTTTTC